AATCTACAAACAATACAAATCTGTGTACAGGGTATAAAACACGGATCCCCAAAAATTTCAGAGGTGGGATCAAGTACCTTAGAGGAGTAAGCATCCCCTGTTGACCGGTCACACCCACCGTGAGCCCTATATATTGATCAGGAAGACGGACATCCCTAGTCAAATTAAGTATGGAAACAAAGGTCTAACAATATGAAATACGTCAGTCATAATACGACCAAATGATACGTTATTATAATATTTGTTAACAAGGTCATTATAACGACCATAGAATTTATGAAATGCTGACTTTGAACAAGGTTGTTGATATCTCTGTAATATCAACTTATCTGTCAGAAGCCTGCCTGGTTTAAAAATTGTTTGTACTCGGAGCATTTATTGAGTAAGTTGGGAGACATTAACACCCATCTTTCCAAGTCAAGGGTTTCTGATCCACTCCGCTCCACATAAACTCTTGACCGAATAGATTAAGTTTGACGGGATTTACTATCGCGCCGTCTAGTGAGATTACACATTTTTAACTCTACTGACCTCTGTTATTAACCAATCAGAGTAAGCGAATTAAAAGCGAATGCGAGAAAATATTAGAAGTCGGAAATAAATTCAACATAACATTAACTTAAAAGTTGAGACAAGCCTTCAACTGCCTTTTAGAGACGTTTTTGTTGGGACTAAAACTGGCGCGTTCTTCTGTTTACGATTTAGTGTCAGGTTAAATAAAACAAAGCTTTTGATTGGTTCATGCAAACTTGAATGAGGCCAATCAGAGAGCGCATTTCTAACCCCGTCAAAGTGAGTCTATTCTGTCAAGGCTTTATGAGGAGCGGAGTGGATCAGAAACCCTTGATTTGGGAAGATGATAATCACCAAATGCAGCTGGTATGCAGGCAGAATATTACAAGACATAAAGAATGAAAGTTGACGATGGAAAAGCTGAAGTCATATCGTTTGTCTTACAATTTAGTTATTAGTTGTCCAAATATGAATCAGATGTTTCAGACTCTGTAGTGTCTTTTATTTCAAGTTCATTTGAATATATCGAGTCGACATATGAATGGAAATTACTATTGTTAATTGATAAAACATCGTTGATCGAGTTGAATGCCACAGCAAATGTTTTCTTCTTCTTATGTAGAAGTTTTTGAATAAATTCTGCTTCATAGGAATATAAAAACAGGTCGGCTAATAAAGGAGCATAATTAATGCCCATTGAAAATCCAACGGTTTGTTAAAGGACCTGGTCTCCGAATACTACATAAATGAGGAACTAGCATTCTTTTAGTATCAACTTCAGAGTAGTTTTCTGTAGAATCAGAGTGAGTTCTAACAAAGTAATTTTGTTGAAGATCAATAATACGATAAGTTCCGTGTTCCACTTTTATTGAAGAAGCGGTTGTCAACGATATCAAAAAACTAGTTTTTAATTTATCGTGAAGAATGCATGTATAAAGTGTAGAAAAGTCGTACGTTTTGATGTTATTGACTTTTGAAACATTTGGCGATTTCAATTTTGTAAAAGTTCTTTGGAGTTTTTGAGAATCAGCATCTGATTTACACCATTTATAGAATATGCTCAGTAACACAGTAAGTCTGAAGTTTCTCCTTTACAGCAGTTAATATTTTTAAGAAGTAAATATAGGGGCTTGGAAGAGCATTAACTGGACCCGTCAATGTATTTTTGTTTGTAAGAATTTTTATGAAGGTTAGGAATCCAATATAGGTATAGCATAACAACCCAAGTAAGTAAATACTTGTATATTAATAATATTGCACTATTTTTGTTGAGGACTTCAAGTGTACTCGTGAATCAGATCATGATTTGTGTCAATTGTTCACATGCGTCAATTTTTATACTTGCAATTTTATGCTCCCTAAGATCAAGATAGCATGCATATTGTTTTGTCCTGTCCTTCTTCCTGCAAAATCTTTAATAGTTGGCATAAACTTTTGGACTATATTTGGTAGAATATCCTAGTTTAGAATCCTTTTTCAACTAGTCGTGTTCTTCAAATGCACTCGATCAATTCCTTCATCAAACGATGAAGCAGTACTGAAACAGTACAAATTGGGAGCAAAGCAAACATGGACCTCTAAAACATCAGAGGTGGGATTAAGTGCCATGGAGGAGTAAGCTTCCCCTGCCGATCGGTCACACCCGCCTTGTGCTCCTTGTCATGATCGGACAAACGGAAAAACCCTTAGACAATTCAGTGTGAAAATATTGGCCTAACAATTTGTATGAAAAATATCAGTCAACATTCGACTTAATGATAGATTGTATTTGCTAACAAGGTTATTGTATTGATCATAGAATGTGCCAATTGATGACTTTAAGGTTGAACGACCCTCTGATAAAAGAGATAACTTCCCAAGAAAATAATTCCAAGATGTCCTATAATTTGTCTTTCCAGAGTTTAGTAACGAAACCATTAGATAGAATCCAATTTATTTAAATAGATAAAACGTCGTCGATATATCTAAATGTCGAATTGAAGGCCATAGCAAGAGATTTCTTCTTTTCATGTAGACCTTTTTGAATAAATTCTGCTTCATATGAATATAAAAATATGTTTGTTAATAACGGGGCGCAATGAATACCCATTGGAATTAAAACAGATTGTTGGAAGACTTGATCTCCAGAAACTACATACTAGTAGATATTGTCAATAAAAAGCTCGTGTGTGTGTGTTTTTTTAAATATCAACTTTGGAGTTCTTGTGCGTATAATCAGAATGTTTTTTAACAAAATAATTTAACAAATGAACAGTGTCAAGGTAAGAAAACGTACGAGTTCCATTCCACTTCTTTAGAGTTTTTAAGCATCCTCATCTGATTAACACCACTTCTCGAATATAGTGTTTACAGTACTCCTGAACTTTCTCCTTCACTGCTGTTAACATTTTGGTGATGTGTAAAGAATGAAGCTTGTGAGTACATTTACTAGAACCCGTTAAGTACAGTGTATCTTTGTAAGGATTTTTATGAAGTTTAGGAATCCAGTATAGGTATGGTAATTCAAATTCAATTTGATTATTGGGAATGATAAAAATATTTAAAACTGACATATGATTTTGAAGAATTTCCTCCCTGGAAATGGAACTATGAGTATGAGTTGGATTACCACTTGCAAAATTAAATTCAAGTTCCTCTGAAATACATGTACAATTAAAATAATGAGCCTTACAAACAAAGGCAATGTTGTTACCTGCTTTGTCAGCTGGAACCAGTACATATTGATTGGGTAATCCTTTCTTTTTTCACTTCTGAGTTATTAAAGACAAAAGGATAGATGATTTTCATATTGTCCTTAATCAGCTGTTATAAAAGTGTCGAGGACTTCTTTTTCATTTTTGGCCCACCTACGTTGCTTTTTCAATCGTCAACTTCCCTTACTTATGCAGCAATATACCTTCATCACCTGCATACGGGGTTTATATCTCTCAGTTGATTCGATACGCAAGAACATGCTCTACGTATGTACAATTTCTAAAACGAGGTAAATTATTGACAAACAAGTTGATGAAACAAGAATATCAGCAGTCTCGTTTAAAGTCATCATTTCGTAAGTTCTATGGTCGATACAATGACCTTGTCAGCAAATACAACATATCATTATGTCAAATGCTGACTGACGTTTTTTAAACATATTGTTAGGCCATTACTTACGCACTGAATCTATGGATTTTTCTGTTTTTTCTCGATCATGACAAGGAGCACACGGCGGGTGTGACCGGTCGGCATAGGGGATGCTAACTCCTCCATGGCACCTAATCCCATGCACCATGATGTTTTTTTGTGATCCGAGTTTGCTCTGCTCCCGATTTGTATTGTTTAAATGGACTTTTGAACTTAAAAACTGTTAGTTATCTCCATTTTTCATGCTATTGTTGTTGATGAAAATCAATTTTGGGAATTGAATTAAAAAAATAGTGAAATTTAGAGCAGAGGGATGTTTCACCTTAAAAAGCCTATGATTTGAAATATCCATTATCACAGATCGTGCTTGTATTCTGGTGTCGAAGAATTCAATATGGACTTTCATTGGCCTTTTACATTTTGCAAAAAATTGTATTTAACCATTAACTATTTCTTAGGTATGAAATAAAGTGAGATAAATGCATTTAACAATATACTCCTACCTAGGTGTACCCTTAACCTCATGATTTTACAAATGCAGTTTCAGACCTGAGAAGGTCAAGGAATATTACAAAAAATGCACTTTGCTATTTTTATTTTATAAAGAAGGTACATGTATTGATGTTGAAAAACCAGTTTTGAGTTATCAGTTACATTGCACGTAAAACGTAATCACGATCTTTTAATAAGTTTGAATATTTCATCTGTAAATGGAATTGAAAAGTATTAGAGATCAAATATGTCACACTGTGACCTATTTACATTTATAATTAGTTTCGTTATTGGCAAGGTATTTATTTAAGGAATGAATTTAATAGCTACGCAAGTTATACATGTACTGTGTAACCTGGATTGAGACAGTTTACGCTTTGTAAACCGCGAAGCGGTTTTAAAAGAGTCGTTAACTGTTCCAACCCAGATTATACAAATATACCTGGGTAGTTATTCATTCCTCATAATTTAATTTCCTAACACAAAGTGTTAAAATAAATAGAAAACCATTCCCCCTTGAATATGACTTCATATTGTAAAAAAAAAAAAATCAAATGGAACGTTTTATAGATTGATATTTTTATGTCCACCATATTGTGACGTAGACAACACAGTTATACGATATGAACCAATTTTTCAGCCTATAAAATGGCGCATTACAACCAGAATTAATTTTTTTTTAAATTTCAGAATAATGATTAAAACGGAACTTAAAATTCAGTTGAAAGATCAGCATATAAACCATTAATCATTGATGGTGATTTTTGACATACATCACTGGTATCATCATTGTATTTTCCCCGGATTTTAAAGATTGTCCCTTGCTTTTTCACGGTTAATCCTAATCCTAGCCAAAAAGAACAGAGAATAAATTAATCAACAACGCTGTTTACTATCAAATGCTATACACAATGCGTAAACATGTAAACACTTACAGTGAATGTTATTTATACATACCAATCATCTTAAAAAGATGAGGTAATGCCAGTCCTGATCGGGTATCTTATCACGGACAAACAGACGAGTATAAGTACGCGTGAATTTGAAAGGGCATTAATAACTGAATATGCGTGCCAAACACGAAAAGCAGACAAAAAGATTGACAAAAGGACATACAGGACAAAACGCGTCCCTGGTCTTCGATATTTGTGAGAAAAAAAGCAAAATAGGTTATAAACATACATATTCATACGAGTACCTAATACAATCTTTTATATATTGTATATAAATTATCAACTTCATATGCTTTTTGTTTTTCATACATGCTGGTCATTTTCTCAACTGCTGTCTTTCTAATTACAGTATTTGGAAAATTACCCAAGGGGAAACTTTGACCCAAGTGTCAAATCTTTTTTCTCCAAAGTCTTGGGTTGAATTTAAAACAAGCTAAAAAAAAAAACTGATATTCACATTCTTTACTGTGTTACGTACATTGGCCGAAATTTATTCTACTTAGAATCTTACGAACTCGTACCTTCTTCAGAACTATTTCTAGATTTTCTTAATTAATGAAGTAAATGTTACATGATATTTTAAAAATTACCGAATTTACAATTTTACAAATTTACAAAAAGTTACCACAAAAAGAAAAATCTGTCCATCTTTATCTGTTAAAATGTACAGCTCCGCAGAAATGCAGAGTCCTTGCAAACTTTTATATCATATAACAGTGTATATATTTAGTTTCCTTAATGCTGGCTTACATACTGGATTTTAACTAGCTAGGTGGGGTGCATTTTGTTGTTATCTTTAATACTTTCGTTTGTAAAAAAAAAAAAAAAACGAGGAAAATGAATAATTGGTACTCAAGATCAAGGTTATCAAGAAAAAGTTTTTTTCTCATTCAAACATTCATACAAAATGTCATAATTCAAACACTCTCACAGAAATTACAGTTCATGTATTTAACCCTGATTACCAAATCTTCCCTGAAATTTTCTGCGTGTTCCTTGTTCTTGGTTTTGGTTATTATTTTGCCCACGGTTATTTCTTCTTCGTCCTCCCTGTCCCCTGTTGTTTACAGGCGGATCAAGACTGCCACCACCCTGACTTCCTGGGGCAGTATTAGTAGAAGTGACATTTCCAAGAACGTCAGCAGGATTTGGGATTTTGAACCCAACGTTAGTTGGTGGTGTGCTTGTTTGAGAAGTGGAACCACCTCTAGCAGCGTTTCGCTGAAAAGCTCCTTGAAAAGAAGGAAATCTGCCACTGCTGCTGGTGCGTCTGCCTCTCAGTAAAGTAAGTTGCTCAGCAAATGGACGAATGTCATAACCAAGGTTATATCTATTCAATATTTGGCTGCAAGGCCGTAGGTAATTTCTACAATGAAAAAAAAATAGAAAATTTTGTTTTGAAAGTTGATATATAGGAAACTGTTTCTAAAAAAAATCTTTGATTCAGTTTTTTTTTCTTTAAGAATCATATTCTTGACTTCCGAAACTGCAAATAAATATTATGTAAATAACAAGTTTCGATTGTTCCATATTTACACTAGGTCTTCTGAAAAATAAAAGATTAGAAAAAAATGTCTGCAAACGTTTGGCACAACGGAGTACTCACCCAGAGATGTCTGGTCGTAAAAGTAGCCGAGGCTGATATTGTTTAAAACCATCATCTTTGACGACTGAACATAAAATTTTGGCCATAGTTATTTGTTTCAGTTGATAAAGTTGTCCTGCAAAAGAAAAATACAAGAGAGTTTGGATTTGTAATAATTATATTACTACAAACTACTATATTTGAGTATGTTATCATTTACGCCAATGATCAGTGGAAAAAAAAATACGTGATTTCTAGATAAAGACAAAAGATTTCTTGTCAAACATTAAACTTAAATTTTAACAATTACAGTGCAGAATGAAGAAAATATATAGTAACTGTAAATCTCTTTTTATTCGCGAGAATTTTATTTTTGCGAAATTACATGACATCATCTGCTCGCGAAAAAATTAATTCTCGCTTATATTTTTATTATTGAAGATTAATTACAACGATAACCAGAATTCGTGAAAATTCCGTTTCGCTCATAAACACCAAATAACTCTCTGGCGAAAATAACGTGTCGCTAAAATTTGATAATCTTAGTAAAAGTGTAGAAATTTTCAATAAAAAAAAGTGTATGTCTGATGTCTGCAGTTCAATACAAAATTCATTCACAGCGTGTCATATTGATGGCTCACAGAAATCAGACTTATAACTGTTATGAATGGTCGTCTTTTGTTCTACTGACCTGTAGTAAAGGCGGTCAAGGAATTCTCGTGTACATCGTTTTCGTACCAGAACCTGTCTCCATGCTTGTACAGAGCGAACTGGTAGGCCAAGAGACAGGAAAAGGTGGGTCCAAGGATGCCGCCATAAATAGGTCTCTCAGATATTCCGCCGGCAAAAAGGTCAATATCATCAGTGCTTCTACAGAACAATACAGAAAAGATTGTTTATGTATCTGCATTGTATCATCTTTTAGTTCACTGAATGTTAGAAATTGAAATTCTGTTTAATACAACGATTAAATGATCCATAATTAAACTATAATTAATGATTCAGTGGCTTGAAAATTAAAACTATTGCAATCGTTGTTTTATATTTGGTTCTTTTTTTATTTGTTTCTGTTTTGGGGGAGGGGGAGAATACTCTCAATGCTTATTATAATAAAATTCGTTAAAGGAGCGTTTTCTGACTAAAGTTGTAGTGGCGACGAGGGTGGAACGCGTTAACTATACAATGTATGAGATATACCTGTAAACAGCAGCGAGGTTGGCAGCATCCTGTGGGGAATGATCTTCCAAACCACCAGGTGAAGTACCAAAGTGAGAGGCTGGATATCGTCCACAGAACTGTCTGTAGGCATTGTAAGATGGAAGTCCGTGCTCACGACCGCGCTGAATGTTTAAAGCTCCAAGGTCAAAAGACGTTGTTTCAGTGGGATACTGACCAGGGGGACCCTCAAAAAGTCTGTTTCTGAGTCCGTCTACGATGCTGCTGTCAGATCGAGACTTCGGAGATTTAGCCATCCAGCGAGCCATAAATTCGAAGCCATTTGCTGGAGAAAACATGAGATCTGGATTTTCAAAATGATTGCTTAGAGGAAAGGTTTGTATTTGCTGACGTCCATTGTCATGCCCAACAATATTTCTGACCAAAGAGTGACCCATACGTAACACTGCAGCACCAAAGGCATTAAAAGTTCTGGGGTCGACACTTGGGTTGTAAACGTTGCTATCGTGGCCAAATTGTCTGGAGCGAAGGTTGAAATAATTCATGTGGGTGTTGTCAAGGACTGCTGGTAAGAATTCGTTGTAAGTCACATGTTGAAGCTCGGCAACAACTATTCTCTTTGCCTCCTGGAAGAGGACCTCATCGTCTGTGATACCTGTGGATGCCCGTAAGGCGTCTGCTATGAGATTATGACGTCGTGCCCAAATCGTATGCATAACTGTCAGTGTAGGCGTTTCACTTGGTCTATGATCACCTGCACAAACCAAAAACTCATTATTATTTTAGTTACTGATTTTTCTTTTTAAATACAAATATTTCAGGCATTGAATTGGTACAAAACGACACTAAACTGATTATGAAAGACGTTGTAAAGTGGTATGGATTATGAGAGAAAACAAAAACGATGCTGTTTCTTTCATTTTACAAGCACAAGCAAAATGTTTTTAGAATGACCAGCCATGACACAGTGTATTTTAATGACTGAAAGAAAATATTTAGAAAGAGAGTTAGAATTCAATGTGTTTTCAATCATCGGAATGTCCTGTCTAGAAACCAACCTGCTATAAAACAGTGATATTGAGTAGATATTCCCAATGGACAGTTTGCACGAGGAAGTAGATCTTGGACTAAATCACTCATTCTTAATCGACCACCGCCTGAAAGTTGAAAAGAAATGCAAAATTAATCATCCGACAAATGCAAATTCTTACTTTAGATGTAATTTTAAGGAAAAAAACTGATAGTCTACAATGTACATAAAGGGAGGATTTTTCATTCCGAAAATTTTCACCTGAACTTTCTACAAGAATAGTATCATTTCAGATTCGACCCCCCCCCCCCCCCTCCAATCCCCCAGAAAAAAGGGAAGGCTGCATTTGGCCTGACTCTTAAAATCCAATATTTCGATGACATAGCTAAATATCTGTCAATGCATGTTTCAAAAGTAAGAACTGATTTTAGATGGTGACATACCGGGCCCTTGAAATGTTACAACTTTGTTCAACTTGAATGAGTTTCCCAGATTTCTTCTTCTTTTTTTTTTTTGCTTCTTAATGTCTTAATGTCAGATACGCCAATACTTGCTTCAAAAAGCACAAAGCACAAGCTAACCTTACTTCCAAATATACAGATATTCATACACTAGGATCAGACAAGTCTCTTACATAAAAATCAAGAAAGGTTCGCTTGTGGCCTGTGTTTTCCAACAAAAAAAGATGAAAATTCTTCTTAACAATCACATTCTTTGGTGTCTGTGTACATGTATATTGTAAATCAAAATCAATATGGTTTTGATCTATCATTTAGGTTTTCCACTGCAAATATCAAAGATATTATTGATTGATTTTATGTTGTTTTACGTCCCATTCGAGAATTTTTCACTCGATCATATAAAGACGTCACCACATACCGGTGAAAGGCTTCAAATTTAGACCTTTACTCGGCACTCAGGGCCATGGAGCAGTGAGGGATCTTTATCGTGCTAACGCCTGTCGTACCAAAGGGCCTTGGTTTTTAAGGTCTCATCCGAAGGACCCGCAACTTTCACTTCAAAGTACCGAAATTGGCGAAGGAACAGTGCTACCTACTTTTTATCGACTTAGGTCAGTCGTGGCCAGGGCTCGAACCCACGACTTCCCGATCACGGAGCGAGCGATCTACCAAATGAGCTACCGTGACGGTTATCAAAGATATGTATAGGACTACTGTAGACGTACTTTTTTTACGCGTGAGATTATTTTTCGCTATGTACGCGGTCACATATTTTCCGCGGAAATTTGTTACAGCATACATAAAGTACATTTCAGAGATACATTGGCAGTCAAAAATTCTACGTGCGAATTGAACAGAAATTCTGATTTCACGAAGTTATGACCTTGTGGGAAATAGTACATTTACAGTATTTAATTAAGCGACAAATTTTGCAATCTGTTTATTTTTAGCTTGCCTACACTTCTTTGTCCAGGTGAGCATGAGGACCTCATAAGCTCTGATTAAAAAGAACTATTCCGGTCAGGAAAAATTTTTAATAATTGTATTGAAATGTTTATTTCCGATACGGTGAGGAAAAAATGGGGGGGGGGATAAATTAAGAAAGCCTTACTGCTTTGTCGAAGTAGCATTTCCCGGCCATTGTCGAATCCATAGATGGCAGTTCCATCTATGAAGGAGGAACGTTGATTCTGCTGTTCACGGACACCTGTAAAAAAAAAAAAAATGGTGAGGACACAGTCTGACACAGACTAGCTGCAAACTTGAAGATTTATAAATTATCAGTTATAAAGTATGTTTGTGATGCTGAAAGTCGAAATTGTAAAAGGGAATACTTCGATCATAATATCATTTTTATATCAAGTCATGCAAAGAACCGAACTGTAAAGTAACAACTATATGTATCATATCGAGGCAAAGTAAAGTATTAGAAGAAAGGATATTATCTTGATACCCCGTCATCTTAAAAAGTATACTTGCTCTTACTTTTGATTTTAGCGAACAAAAAAACATTGATTATCTGTCAGAAAAAGTCATACTAGAAATTTATTTTCTTTGAAAAGAAAGGAGCTGTTAATGTTGATCTAACTGTTTTACACGTGAAACAATGATGCAACTTATTAATTGAAATGCAGTAGTTTCCAAATATGTGAACAGTATTAAGCTTTTTTTTAAAAGTACTAGTATACCATTTGTACATCCAAGTGGTAAAGCTGCAGAATGGCGGACCATATTCATGCAAGTTTGTGTTGGAGGGAAATGCGGATCTCCACGTGGAACTCGAATAGTAAAACAAGAAAATTTATTTCTGTAGGAGAGATAAAGATAGCAGTAGATATAGGTACAAGTCTTTTAGTCTGAATCCTATAGATGTTTTAAGTGTGCAATTAAAATAAAACTGAAAATAAAGGATGTCTGAAGTAGAATTTAGAAATATAACAATATTTAGAACACACGAACATACACTAAAGGACTGCAGCAATCTGTTATGCTTCTTGGTGGGTTTCCCTCTGAAACAAACAAAAGCTCATATCATTGGTAATTTAATTGTGTGTTTTTTTTTTCAATGTCATGAGTCACAAATGCGCCTAAGAGGGATTTAGTCTAAAAAAAAATTAAAAAAAAAAAAAAAAACAGCAATAGTTACGACTTGCCCGAGTTTCACTAATTGTGTAAATGGACCCAACGTGAGGACAAGAGAAGTTAACAAAAACAAAGAATCGCAACTAAATCGTTGTTTGTCCACAACACAAGGGATGTCAACATTTTTTGCTAAACCTTAAAAATATGTATCCTATATAAATCTTTACTAAATAAAAAAGTCTAACATTTCCAATGTTTTACTGAGCGGTCATAAAAAATCTATGTTTGATCGCAAAGTGAGATATTGGATCTATAAATGAGATATTGGACCGCATACACTACACTTTGGGTGGAATCAGCTAATTATAAATCTCATTTGCATTCGTTGGTGAATTGGACAAGTTTTACCGCAGTGTGGCTAAAGGAAATTTACATCATGGAAGCCAACACAAGATACATGTTGTGCAAGGTACAAGATAAAAGGGCAAAATGCGTTTTGTCGACCCCTCGAAGGAAACTGTTTGCCTTCGGCATGAAGGCCTCAGGCAAACAGTTTAGTTCTTGGGTCTGACAAAACACATGCGGCCCTCGAACCCAGTCAATAAATGTGTAGTATTTCTTCTGTTGCTTGTCAGGTTTTGATACATGTAAAAGTGCACGAGTTTTGCTGAAATACATATAAAAGTACAATCGCGATCACCCAGATCTATAATTGAGAGACTATATCAAGGAGACTAAGCATTAAGTTGCAGAAGTAACGTTACCTGTCATAGAAGGTGTAGAAATGATGTCGTGATCAATGAATTGTCCAATTCATAAAAATATGTATCCTATATAAATCTTTACTAAATAAAAAAGTCTAACATTTCCAATGTTTTACTGAGCGGTCATAAAAAAATCGATGTTTGATCGCAAAGTGAGATATTGGACCTATAAATGAGATATTGGACCGCATACACTACACTTTGGGTGGAATCAGCTAATTATAAATCTCATTTGCATTCGTTGGTGTTTGACAGTGACAGAATAGGACAAGTTTTACCGCAGTGTGGCTAAAGGAAATTTACATCATGGAAGCCAACACAAGATACATGTTGTGCAAGGTACAAGATAAAAGGGCAAAATGCGTTTTGTCGACCCCTCTAAGGAAACTGTTTGCCTTCGGCATGAAGGCCTCAGGCAAACAATTTAGTTCTTGGGTCTGACAAAACACAGGCGGCCCTCGAACCCAGTCAATAAATGTGTAGTATATCTTCTGTTGCTTGTTAGGTTTTGATACATGTAAAAGTGCACGAGTTTTGCTGAAATACATATAAAAGTACAATCGCAATCACTCAGATCTATAATTGAGAGACTATATCAGGGAGACTAAGCATTAAGTTGCAGACGTAACGTTACCTGTCATAGAAGGTGTAGAAATGATGTCGTGATCAATGAATTGTCCAAGGTGGGTTAGGAAGGTAGAGTGTGTGGAACTGGTTGGCGTAGATCCTGCAAGTACGGCGTTACTTACCACGCGGGCACTGGGCAAGTTATTCTGTCTGTTACTAGTCAATGTCCGAGGAGTGTCTATGACTGATGTAAAAGTGAATTTATCTTAAACGTTATTTTCAACGTAGAAAGCATTTGAATTACTCGTATTTCATCATTTAATTTTTGTTGAAAACAATTTTTTGTTGGTGTGCCAAAAACAATTGTATCAACAATCTACAAGTTTGACTGATGATAGAATATGGCGAAGTGGCTGTCCACGAGAGTACATTTAATCATAATTGTATTTTTTCTGTAAAACACCGAAATTTGATACCCATGAAAATTAATGATACCAATTTTTACGGCATAACACTGTTTCATATGTTTTGTTAATTCATATATCGGGACTGTCTTAACATGCATTTCAAAGTACGTTCACTTTTGACTTACAGTTATCATAAAGGTTTTGAAGAATTCGTGCCTGTGGGGTGAAGGCTTTTCCCAGGAGGGGGTTATAAAGGTTGTTACAGGATCCATCTGCTGTCCTGTATGGATTCTGTCTATCACATACGGGTATCTCGTAACAAAATGGCGCCATTGCTCGCTGAAAGCTAGACGTAATCTCAGGGTCGGAAATCACTTTTCTATTGGCTTCTTCAGTGCTGCTTGTGCCAGAGGCAATGATTGGACTGAAGGGCAAACAACAATGGTATGCATTAAAAGATAACCTAATTAATTGTACCGTATAAAGGGTATTTTCTGCGGTTGTGTAATTTTTACAGAATTATACGGATGGGACAAATCCGCAGAAGTTGCAATCGCAATATATTCTTAATCCTTAAAATCTGGTAGTCTTAGACTGCAAAAGACTTTTTTGCGTTTTGCAAACGCAGAAATTAAAAACACAGAAAGTAATTTGGGTTAAATTGCAAAAATTTCCACCCGCAGAAAATACCCCATTAAATGGTAATTGCAGATGTACACATGACTTAATGAATTCCAGAGACCATGCTAATTGTTAAAACTGATGATATTTCCAAGATACTAGTAATTCTGAAAAATGACAAAGGATTCATGTATATAAGAACATTTGTAAAATTAGTCAAATAAAAGTACTGTCGAACCATTTTGACTACGGTAGTATACGTGTTTAACCTTTTTCTAAAAATTGAAAAGTACACAACAAAGAGAAATATAAAGTACATATATTATTTTAAAAAAGTCAATTTAACATTATCTAAGAATTGTTTATTTATGAGATGAATGTGTCATGTGACTTTACGTATTTACGTACCTGGCAGCAATATTCCGGGCGGCCGTTGATGCCTGGGAGGATCTGTCATCTAACATTCTATTCATTTCTGGAGAATTACTTTGTGAAAATCTGTTGAGGGAGTTAATGGCACTGGAACCCCCGCTAGTCTGAGTAGGCGGGTTCGTTGTACCGGTGATCACTAGAATATAAGTACATGTTAGTTGAATATGATCCTTGTTATGACTTATATTTATTTATAGTTAACTCCACGGAAGGCTTTAAAAGGATTCGTCGTGCCTGTCATGCAGAGTGCTTGATTGCTTATTTGAAGAAAACTTCTGGAATTCACCCCCCCCCCCCCCGGACCCCTAAAAAACACATTTTAGATAAAAATAAAAATAAATTGCAAGTCAGCTATCGAAAACTCTCTCCAGATTGCTTCTTTATAGCAAAAGGAAAACAAAAACTAATCCGACTAACAAAAAAAAAAGGGCTTGATGCATCAAAAAATATACTTTATATTGATGGTGTGTTGTGAACATTTTGGTTCATTTCATATCCACCTAGAAACGATCGAAAGGGAAATTTAATAACTCTATACTTTATTGCAATTTTGGCTTTGATGTGTCATAGCTATTGTCATTGCTTGTTTTGTCTGGCCGTTATCCCTCATTTATGATCATTATTGACTTCATAACCTTGACCTTGACGTTTGACCTATTTTTAAAACATTTTAACCTTGGTCGTAGGCTTTGCACCCGAACAGACGGAGATCAATATTTTATAGGGATGTCATTTTCGTCAATAATTCCTATTCGAATATTCAATGGAAGTATTCGAATATATTCGAATATTCGATAAAATAAATAAAATATGATTTATTTTAAATGTACATCATCATACTCTCATGGCAGGTTTTGGGACAATATTTGGAAGTAAAATTGGATGTAGACTTTTGTAGTGTACAATTAGGAATTCTACTTTTGGTATATGTCAATGTTTGAAATAAATAATTGACTTAAGTGTATACAGCTGAAATATAATTGTAACAAATGATATCTATACAAGCTCAAACTGAGGAACCTACCGTCTATCCAGGAACATGATTGTCGTATACTCTTCAGATTTAAATACATGCAATTAATTTCAATTATTTGCTAATGAGAGATATAATCTTTAATACACTGTTTTGAAAATATAAATAAAACTTCCATAGACAATTTTGTTAGGTTATTAATTTCCCGGTAATGATTTTAAATATTTCGGAATATATTCAACCCAAGAAAACCAAGTAATTGATGCAGTATTCTGAAATTGAGTCCTTTACGATATTACAGGCTGCTTTTATCAAAGATGTAACTTAATGTTTAATTAAATTTGTTTTCATAAGTAAACTGTTCACGTCTATTAGACATTTGAAGAAGGGTTTCAATTCGTTGTCCTCGATTGTAGAACCGATCATATTAAACTGTTGAAAGTACTTTTTGTACTATACATGAATAACTCTTGTTTATTTCGTGTTTACCCTACTCAAAAGGAAATAATTTAGATCTATAAGATAAGAAAGTAGTGAAAGAAATCAAGAGATCAAAATTGATCGCCAGTTAATAAATCGGGATAATTCAAACAGTTTTAACAAAAATTCATTATCTCGTTCTTGTGAAATCTGAAGACATCGAATATTCGAATCTTAAATTCATATTCGAATATTAGCTCATCGAATGAATATTCGAATGTTCGAATATTCGTTGACATCCCTAATATTTTATGTGCCATTTTCGATATACTTCGGATATACTTTGATTGTGAATTTGACCTTGAAGTTTGTTTTTTTTTTAAATATCTGACTTTGGCCATAGATTTTGCACCTGAAGAGACAGGGGATTCATATTTTACCTTTGCATTAAGTGTGCATTACCTGTGACAAGAACTTTCCGGATGAACTATGACTTTGAAATATGACCTTGTTTTTTTTAATTAACCTTGGCCGTCGGTTTGCCCATTTCCAACCGAGTTATAAAAAAGGCCCAACTTTTTTAAAGCTCAAGAAAACATTTTTTTTAATTCTTCCGGGATTTTCTTATTGTGTCAACAACTATTTTATCTTAATAATACCTTAAATTTCTATAAATTTTGAAAATTCAGCACTGATGTTGAAAATTGAAAAAAAAAAATCCTTCCTTCCTACCGACCCAATTTTTTTTTTATCCTGAGTCGGGAAAGAGTTAACAAACTTTTTTTTCTACAGATGGCCTTACCTGTTTTAATTTAATTATAAAAGACCATCAGATAAGAGATTTTTTATCATTAGGAAAACTGGAACTGTGGAATGAAATTAAGTACATTGCCATACAAAAATTGAATCTTTAACATTAAAGTTCCAAAATGGATCGATAAGTTGAGAGAGAGATAGAGGAAGGGGTCTCATCGATCGACCGACCGATCGATCGATAGATAGATAGACAAATAACAAGATACAGAATAGGTTCATGCATACCGAAATAACAAAATATAATAAATATATTGAGATGTTTTTCACTATTTTATACTTCGTTTCCGCCTATTCTTTCTTAAATGTTTTGAAAACAGTATGTATGAATTACAGAAAATAGAATCTTTAAACATTTGGAATAAACAGTTTTGAATAAAAGACAGGCTTTCTAGAGGATCAATTTGCTGGAAATTTTATTCTTTTTATTTTTCATCCATTGTTTTGCAGAGGGAAATTCCATGGTTAAAGAAGGATATTTATGTAGTAAATGAGATTAATTCATTGGATTTCAATAGAATGAATCTGGAAATTGACTTCGTTGAACCAAAGTTGAACCCAAGCCAAGATGACGACCCTTCCTTTTCCGGCAAAGAGGTGACTCTTCCGTTTCGGGTTCAATCGGCAATCCTTGGCTGTCTCCGCTATGCTCCATACAAACCTCGGATGTGACTGATGGAGGAATATGCATCAAATCGATTATACATTTCTCTTCCGTAAACTACCTTGTAACTCATTTTTATATTTCATTCTGCATAAAGTTCTTCAAAAAGTTTTTTTAACTTGTCTAATTCTTCCTTGTATATTGGTTTTGATTACAACCTTATGTTATTTGTCTTTGAAAGCAAAAACATAGTGTTAGGCGTGCAACAAATTAACTCAGATTTCAAAGGTATAACATTTGGAGGAATTTCAAATAAGACCACATGACTGTATCAGCAAAATGGTAGAACACTGTTTACATCCGAGGTTAGTATGCGAGTTACGAGCACCCGAGGAGCTCCCAGTGTTTCGGTTAGAATGACAACCATCCTGACCGCTTCATTTTCGCCTATACGACGGTTTACGGTTTTTAAAAATTCTTTACCTCTCCTGGAACTCCTCTTCTTTCACAATGGTTCCTGGTTCGGTCGTAAAGACTCATTCACTACTCGGGGATGTTCCCCTCGTATCGATGAACGCTGATCTAGCCTCTACAAGAACTAGCTTTGTGCTAAGGCGTGACCTACTCTACATGTACCTGCTGCCGGGCAGCAGGTCTAATGTCCTCATCAAAAGTGATGACTACTTTCTAGGCAACCTCATCAAAAGTGATGGATACAGTCTACTTTGTAGGCAATTTCGCGTGACGGAAGGACCTTCTTTGGGAGGAACTGGACAAATCGTCGACTTGGCAGAAATGATGCGATTTGGCGGAAAGGTCGCCATTTTGATCGGAATTGAAAACGGTTTTAAATTGGTCGGAAATCAAGGAGCAGCCATTTTTGTCGGAAACAATAGGGTCGCCATCATAATTCCGGTATCGCTCTGATTCGATGGGTAAATTATTACTTAGTGACCTATGGTTTGGCCGTCTAAGTGTTTTTGTAGTAATTCTATGCGTAGTTTACAAAAAAGGGATTTTAGAATTTAATTTTAAAAAACTCTCAGTATAAAAATCTGATCTGATTAGTACAGGCGGTTGTAAGCGAGGGACACAACCATATAGAACTTTTTGAACAAGCCAATATATATATATATATATATATATATATATATATATATATATATATATATATATATATATATATATATATATATATTGAGGCGTATTTTTGAACTGCAATGTGTTTTATTAGTATGTACTGGCAAAATTAGTTTGGAGGGTGGGAGGGTTGTAAGGCCCTAAATTCAATAAATTGTAGTATTAAATTACTACAAGCATACAATTGTTTACTAGTATTACAAATGTTCCTTAAAAGCTGTATAAGCTTACTAATTTCTGCTTTTTCTCCTACAACTCTTGATTGATATGAAACCTGATGTACCATTAACAAAGATCAAAATACACAATCAAAAACTCCACCAAACTATTCACAAAACTATGAAAATAAGTAGGTTAATGATATGCTCATTTCAAAATGTCAATTTGTCTAATGACTTATACTTGCTTTTGAAATCATTACAATTATTAAACCAATGAAAAAGCAGGAGTTGCCTTATTTGGTTCTAATTTAGACCTCTTGTCTCTTTGTTAATAAATATGTCACTGGCATCAATTAAGGAAGAAAAAAATGAATTAGGAATTTTAAGTAGAGTTATAATTTTTTCATCCAGAAATAAGTTCATTTTATTTTTTAAGCAATATATACTGGCATTCTCTCACAGAGAGTTTGGCATTAATACTCTGGTAAATTGAATGCACAGAATATTGTGTTTATAGATGACCCATTCTTGGAAATGAGAAAATAAAAAAAGAAACTGGAAATGTTTGCCTATGTTAATTTGTTAAATCCTCTGATTTTAATTCGTTATTAGACAATTTACCTGTTGGTATTAATGTCCCTCCAGTTATTCTGCGACCGGACGTTGTGCCGCGTCTGAAGGCGGAGTTGACGGCATTGCGAACCACCGACTCTACTGTCTGACCACTGCCCTCCGTTAGCAGTGTGACTAAGGTAAACGCCAAAACTATCTCTCTCATAGCTACAAAATAATCCCATATAAATTAATGCGACATAAATCATAGTTTCTTTTCAAAATCATCTGCTTACATAATTAAAAATAAAAAATAATACCTTTGTAATTGTCAAGCTTTTCTCTTGGCCATCAATTCAAATGAAGACCTGAAAATCCTTTGTTGAATTATGTTATTTGATAAAACCTACCAAATGTGGATCGTGCTTTTGTAATACAACTAATAAAATAACGTCACCTTCATTATTTGTAGTGATAAATTAACATGTTTTGATGCAGGGGAGCGAACTTAATGCAATTTATTGTGTCACTAATAATCTTACCTGTGCATGAATTAATTATATTTTTGTTTACAAAATAATTTGACCGCAGACACCTATGACAAGCTACTATTGCATAACTACTAGTAATTGATATGCTTATTCTAAAAAATGCACTTTATGAACTTTAAAAAATGCATTATATGTTATTCGGTTAACTTATAATATGATGTTTGCGTTCTTAGTTTAAATTTATATAATTCAATTTTTTTGCAAATAATTGGATTTTGATGAAAAGTGATTCGCCAGAGAGCAGTAAAGTAAAATTCCCTCCATGAAAAAATGAGTTTAATTCAAACCAGATGTTTAATACGTGCCCCCCTCCTCTCAGTTATAACTTCCATAATTACTTTATTTTCCTTTGATATTTTACACTTCAATCATTTTGAAACTTTAATTCTGTTATGTTGAAAACATACAAGAAATAAATAATTAATGGTGTCCTTTTGTTTTAAAATGCTTAATTCATTGCAACATGAATAGGACTGAACAGCAGGCATGATTGTGTATCATTGTATTCTCCACAACGGTTGTAGAGTAAAACTTTTACATTGTAGTAGGTCTTGGACAATGTACAATGTATCGAAGTTCAAATCCATTCAAATTACTTGTTGCTGAGTTGCTAGAATTAACCGAAACAGGATTTTGTTACAAGCGAACAAACGGACTGACGGGAAAAAAAATTAAAAAACCACTTTGCCTCATCAAACTAGAAGGAGACAAAATGAACGGTAAAAAAAAGTAAAATATACAAAATGTTAAACACTCAAAGATACAAAGCATTTAACCTTTGAGTGTAGAAATGTGCATATCTTGTGACTTATCATCTAAAATATTACTTGGTTAAAAAAAAAAACCATTTCGATTCTACACGCAAATACTCTGAAGTTGACATAACATATACTTAAAAAAACATATATAATTCGTAAACTATAGCTATTTGGTCCAATTTTGAAACCCTTCAGACAAATGTTTGAAAGATGCAGTTCTGTATTTTAAAAAAATATTCTGTGCCGTAACTTCCGTTAAGAATTTTCCAAAACGCATTTTGTTGGAAAATTTTGAATATAAATATGAATGCAACAAAACAATTTATTGGAATTTCCTTGGGTCCTAATTGTGACCCCTTTTTAGCAGATCTTTTTTGTAAGAAGCAGAATTTGTTCAAAAACTTTTACATGAAAAGAAGTTTCTTGCTATGGCCTTCGACATTTAGATAATTATATCGACGAGGTTTTATCAATTATCAGTTTCAGTTCTAATTCATACGTTGATTCGGTATATCCCACTAAACAGTTCACAGAGTCTGACACGATGTTTCGTATTTGGATGTTCTACTAAAGAGAGACATTAATGCCAAACTAACCATTAAATAATAAACCTGAGTACTTACACTTTCCTATCGTCACCGTCCCTTATTTATGTATCAATATACCAAGATCACCTATAGTGTTTATTTCTCTCAGTTCACTCGATACACAAGAGCAGTTTTACACCTAATTGTAACTCACTATGACAAATATTCTTTCTTACAGCAAACAGTATTTTACAAAAACTAATACTGGTATGCAATTTCCCAGAGTCTAAACCTTTATGAAAAACCAAACAAAAATTTTGGACCAGTAGCTTAACAACTTTTAACATAAGTATCTCTGGGTCTCGACATTAAAGTTAAAGCCTTTCATTTTGCGAAAAGTACCAAACATTGCTTTGTTACCTTGTGTTGCACAAATGTTTCTGTGTGGATAAAATTTTACCATTATTATAACTGAGTTATAATTGTAACTTGCAGCGTCAATACGGATCTCTTTTCTATTTCGTGCTAAACTAACGCTTCATCCTGAAGGCAGTAACCTCTGAAGACATAAATACCTAATAATAGTCGTCCACTTCTCTTGATAGCAATTAATATTTAACATCCCGTTTAGCCTTTCTTGTGGCTTTATGTCACACCTTCCAAAATGTACTCCAAATTTAATTTAATTTAATATGTGCCGAGACAAGCCTTTTTTCTGCAGAACGGACGGCAAAATGTACCTTGCATTTTGGCACAAATTGTCCTCGGCGACAATATGTGATGCTAACAATTGTATATTTTGTAGCCAAAAATATCGTTTTGAAGAATATTTTACTGGGTTGAGAGATGGGGGTGGGGGAATACATGTATGCTTGTTTTTTTCGTGGATTTATAATAACTGTATTGATTGCACCATTCTCCTTCTCCACAGAACATGTAGCTTGTATATAAATACATGTACATGATTAGTGTTTTTATAACAGCTACAATAATTTACTTCATCGGAGATAAAAGTGAAAATCCTACATAAAAAACATCGATTTATCCTTCAGTTAAAATGCAATCTAATGAAAACTTGAGATGAGATAAATGCCGGTGGACGACAATACATGTACGTGGGGTAGGTGCAGTATGTGCGTCACAAGGTGGTTGTCTCGTACGCATTTAGAACAGTGAAATGAAGAGAATACGAGTTTCCTGAATATATTTTTGAACAGGTGTTATGATAACCAAAGATAAGTTTATAATGTAACCTTTAAATTTTTTTTATTATTGTAAAAGAATACCTAAAAACACAGTGTAGAATTGACTAAAAAAGATTTTTGTCAAATGATTTTCTATTAATTTTGTTGAACAAAGGAATAAAATAATCTATCATTATTTTGTTTTTGTGTTTAACTTTTCTGACAAAAAATGTATCAAAAGTAAATCAACAGGATGTGATTCTAAAGCTACAAGTTTATCAGTAGTAGGAAGGAGAAAGATCAAACTTCTTTTCTCAGATTATTTTACAAATTCAACTGTAAAAATATGATATTCACTTTATAAATGGCCATTGATCTTTAGCATAAAGACAGGAATCTGAATCAAAATTGTAATTAACTTCAATCAAGGCCACAATAGCCTTGACACTGATTTTGGACGGACAGATGATTGTGTCCTCATTTTTAAAACGAATGAATTTTAGTTTCAAGTATATATTTATTATACATGTATCTTACGGTATATCTCGAATATATTAATTTTATATTTTTTTTACTACATGTACCTATGAATTCAAAATAAATAATTGTCTTACCTGATTAATTAATGTTCTTTGAGAACAAGCCCTATCTTTAATTTATAGTCCGATGTCGAGTTACGTCAATGATGATATTATTCAATGAGTTTTTAGGCCATTGCATATTGTGATGTAAAGGAAATCCCGTGTTTGCATGCATATTCATATTTGATTCAATGTCATTATTATTCAGTCAATATTTGAAATGTTAAATGTTGTAAGTGCAAAAAAATGAAGATCACATTTTGAATTTACTGAATATTTCTTTATTGCTTGAAAAGTATGCAAATACAAAAATTTTGTGAAACAGTGTGTTCATCTGTCATATTCGGCGAGTTTAAAATTAATGACATGGCAGTCGGAACAACACAGGTGGATGGGTGTCTACAGTTAAATGTTTTTGTAGACCAACATACTCTCAAACTTCAGTTACTTTTCCTATCACTTGCTCTTTTGGAGAAAAAGTGTAAATAAATAAATGAATATATAAACTTAACCCCCATTCCCTCTTTCTCTCATCGTACCTACATGTAAGTGGTATTATTTCTTGAAAACGGAAAGGATTATACCAAACTGTGTTTCGCGTTCAACTGATATTAAATGTTTACTTCAATGCATAATTCATTTAAGATTTTTTTAAATTTATATTTATGATGTACTTATAAGGGCCACACACTAAATCTGTGTTCACTTATGTGTCATATGTCAACATTTGCCAATCTACAGAGAGCGTTCTGGGGTTTCATTGTCAATGTATTGTGATTTAATAAGGAAAAGAATACTGGGTTTGATATGCACAGGATTTCCCTTTGTGCATGCTTTATGTGAATGGCATTTCCAAAACAAATACCTATTTGGTTTTTCCCTTAACTTAATTTTCTTACTAAGACCTGTGAAGAAATTACATATAGCAATGTAGTGTATATGCATGTGAAACCACATATTTGTAGATTGGTTAGAAAAAATGCAGTGTACAATTCTTAAGGTAATGGGGAAAAATAAGAAAAATAAATAAATAGGAAAATGTGAAGATAAGGAACAGTGATCATTCTCAAAAGTCCTTTAAAATAATACAAATTATGAACAGAGCAACATGGACCTCTGAAAACAGAGGTGGGATCAGGTGCCATGGAGGATTTAGAATCCCCCGCCTACCGGTCAAACCCCCCTCGTGCCCTTTGTCATGATCGGGTAAACGGAAAATCCGTAGACAATTCAGATCGAAAATAATGACCTAACAAGTTTTATGAAAAACGCAAGTCAAAATTCAACCTAAAAACAGATTGTATTTGCAAAAAGTGTATCGTTGTATCGACCATAGAATTTGCGAAATGTTGACTTTAAACGAGATTGTTGATATCCTTGTATCATAAACTTATTTGTCAATAGCCTGTCTCGTTTGAGTAATTGTTCGTATGTATGATATGTTTTTGCATATTAGGTCAACTGGGAGATATAAATTCCATATGCATGTGAAAATGGCATATAGCTACATAAGTAAGAGAAGATGACGACAGAAAAGTTGAAGTCACCACGTTTTTCATAAAGTCTAGTTGGCAGTTTTTGCCATCAATGTCTTTCTCTTGTAAAAAATCGGAATATGGAACAGATGTGTCAGATTTTGTGGTGTCTTTTATTTCGAGTTCATTGGGATATATCAAATCAACGTAGGAATGGAAATAAATGTTGTTTATTGGTAGAACGTCGTCGATACTAAATGTCGAATAGAAGGCCACAGAAAGAGACTTCTTTTAATGTAGAAGTTTTTTTTTAAAATAAATTTT